CAGGAAGGTACATCGCTCACGCGTGCTCATGATTTCTTGGGAAATACAGTACAATAGATGTACGGAAGAACACTTTCAAACAGCTGTTGAAACTGTTAGATTAAATTTAGGGTAACCAATTTTTGTACACTATAAATTAAACTATGTCAAAAGATATAAAAACGCTGAATTTACTCTACTAAGCAAATTATAATGAGTGGGTGAGTCAAAACTACTAAACATGTATTTGCAAGCGAGGATAAATTTACATTAGAAGTCTCATGGAACAGCCGTCATCATAAATCTGCATTAGATAATCAGGGCATTCGATGTAATTTAACAGTTTACTTCTCAGTATAATATCCACTATAAATTTTTCTGTCATTTGCCAGCCTCATCCATTCTTATTTTCTCCTCAGTGATGATTTAATGGGAAGTTAATGACATCACAAGGAAAATGAAATTCACCTGTCTTATGATTGTCCTTAAGAATAACGAGTCTTGTCACGAAACCGTGTTTGGGATCCGGTTTACAAAATGCATTACCGGCACAATGAATATTGAATGTTTATGATAGCAAGGAGTGTTCATAAAAAAAGCAAAATGAGTAATAGATTGTCAGGGTACGCGTTGTCATCATTAAAAACCTCTAACTGGAGGGACACTCAACCTTAGAACTTATTATTAAATTGTACACTCTATGTAATATTAATAAAATTATTTCCTGTCATTCACAATAATTCCATTTAAACGTATTACGGCGACAACGTGAATGAAATATACATTTATAAAGTTTTGTGCCATGTGACGAATGTATCAAACAAGGGAACACAATTTAGAGCTTGGAACTCATTGTTATGTTATTATAAAAATGGTAAAGGTAAGCAGACTCCAGTCATTTCACAACTGTGGATTTCTCTAAACTCATATCACATTACATTAAAATTAAAAACAAAAAAATTAATTGAATGAAAATTCTACCGATCTCGCAGAAGGGCTGTTAAGTTTAACATATCTTACAGTAGCATGTAATTTAAAATAACTGTGCATTTGGGATAAGCAGAGTGAAACTGTGTTATTTTTTAAAAGAATGTTTACATTACGACCTCACTTTTTGGCCAAGAATTATATTTTATAATTTATGCGTTCTTATCAACTGGTATGTTTGCGTAGACTTGCATCAAGCAACTGTTGTTGCTAGAGTTGAAAAACATTAAAACCTACCTGTCCCTCTTTCACCATCGGTTATACCCGGTTTTTACTCTGAAAAAGCTTCCAGGTTATGGAAATTGCTCCCTTGACGTCAAATTTAATATCAAAGGCACAGAATCAACCAGCCGTGAGTAGGAACGAGTCACTAGACTCTATTAGTCACCTGCTATTTTTATTCCAAATAAACATGTGTGTAACACTTTTATCCCGTTCTGCTCGTTTAGTTTATACTGAAAGAAGTGCAGAAGGTACAAGACTTGTAATACATAGTGAGACGATGGATGATGGATTGGGCGTTAAACGAGTTAATAACATCACCCGTGGCTTTCTGTCTGTCTAAGGTTGACTCCGAAGTGTGCATCTTCAATTCGTTGAAAGCACGCAGGGAAGCGCACACTATAGACCAATCGGTAGATCTGGAAGCCTGCTTCGGACAAGGCCCAAGCCTGGACATTGCTCAATTTCCACTGAAACCTCATTGTTATCTTATTAACATTGGGGCAAACAGTCCTAAAAGTTTTTATCAAGCAAGCAATACTTGAATACTGCTGGTGCTTTGATAAAACATTTTTAGTGACTGTTGCAAGAGCAATAGGGGGCGCTATGTCACCTAGGGCGGTCACCAGATTTGCTCATGTACTTCACTGTCCCCTTTTTACAGTCTTCCGTTTTGTGATAAGAATCATGTAACCTGAGACATTGCGTGTTTCCTCCCATTCTGGCCATAATGAATGAAAAGTGCACAATCTGCAGGAGAAAAGATTCGTTTCCACTTTAGAACGATTCCCAAAATGTTTCACACTGTCCTCCGTACATCTGCACTTTTAACTGTCATAGATTCGGAAAAAATTCTTTCCTGAACCAAAATTGTAGCACTACAGCACTTGCAAACTTTATAATACTATTGTGACAAGTCCATACGACACCAATTTTATGTTATCTGGTTAACGGCCTCATTTGTACAGCTTGTGAATAAAACTATTTTAACACATTTCCAAGGCAAGCTCTAAACAGCAACACTTGTCAAGGAATCGAAAAACAAATCTATGTTCCCACTTATCTGTTTTCTTGGTGCAATTTTGCAATTTGGCGAATATTGCTAGTAGGTATATTTCTGTAGCCCTTCGATTTCAATAACAATGCTCTTCCAAGGCTACACTTTAGTAGCGCGTATTTAGGCCTACACTTACACGTATTGTTGTAGCAGCTTGTCGTAAGTGTCATAGGCGCATTTTGGAAGGTCTCTTTGAAAAAAAACTTTTTCAAACCCATAAAAAATAAGTATCCTAAATACACAGTTATACACCACAAGAGCCTTCCATTCACCTTCCGTTTGTTTAAAGACTGACAAGACACGGTCGTCTAGGACGGTAGGATGGGTAGGCTTAAAGATGGGTACAAGTCTGATCGGGTAATAATTACATTTAATCAGACCATATGGGAAGACAACAAATAACATCGATATGGGCCTGGAACTAAAATTGGATTAAGAACCTGTTATCTGAATATCTACAATATCACAGCCAGTCGTATCAAAAAAAGAACCAAATAAAAAAAATATATTTTAAATTAAGCAAAAAATGGTATCCAGAAGCTGCCAAACTTGCTTCATCGACTGGAATCTTCCTACTGCGTAATTGTAACGGGTGTTCGATGGGGGTATGGTGAGTAATTGAGAACCTTCAGTTCCCCATAGTCAAACATTCTTTTTCAGATGATGTCGTTTATATATTTTAAGCATTTACATCTGGGAACCAGATAAACGAGGTGGCCCTGTGTCCTGTGTGCATGTACAGCCTGAAGCCTGAATACGCTTTTAAAGAGTGATAGTGCGAGGCAGTCTATTGTAGTGTTAATTGGTAGCGACCAGCGTTATCGCGATGGACATCGAGCGTTACGCGTGCATCATTTCCAGAAAAAAAGTGAGGGTACAAAAAAATCCGCACCACTGCACCACTTTTGGAATGAGCTCCTAACAAGAAACCAAAGACCTTTTGTACAATAGCATTACGAGAGCACAGTATAATTGGAACGGCTTGGTATCATTTGATCAATTCATTTGCAAGTTCATTGGCAAATGCGCCCCTCTTAAATCAACAATGTTAAGATTTTCGGGTAAATTCCATTTCGAAGAAAAATTCCAAGATGTATTTTTCTACAATTGTGTCTTGAGTACTTATCCAGTGTAACGTGTAAAGTACCTTTAGGAATTGGACGTTATTAAAGTCATATCATCACCAAACATAACACTGAGAGTGTAATATATACTTTTTAGCTCGGGTAAAATTGATTGTCACCTGGTAAATCCTGGTAAAGAATTCAGTACCGCAAGTAGTTTTCTCGCATTTAGTGTGATGAGTGAAACTCAGTGTAAATTGTTCTTCTCTAATTGGCCAGAAACCTTCTAAAAATCTCAATCCATTCTCTTCCTTTCCCCCGAGAGCCGTGTACTAGTATTGACACGTGATTTGTTTATTACTTCATTCAGGCTTGGCTTTTACGTTTACAATTTATTTTGAAGGATCAAATGTATCATTCTAGATTGATGTTGAACTAGATTTGAGCGCCCAAATGCGCACAGCTGTTCTGAGCTTGGATGCACGCAATTCAAACAAGGTTGATCTTCCTTTTCATAAACCCTTTGCTATTGAGATTAATTCTTCACAGAGGTATACACGGTTTAACGTGTGGAGGTAGGCAAAACAAAGTAGGTTTGTGTTTTACTAACTTTTTATTTCGTCTTTTAACTCCATGGCATTGGAAGATTCCTTTGTAAACATCTCTCAGCCTTTCTCTATTTTCTAAGTCGATGCACGTGTCTTGCCAAGTCACCGATCTCAGTGAAGAACTATATCAAACTGATCAAACCTAAATACATACACATTTTGTTTTTTAGTAATGTCTGAGTTCTCATTCATTTTGACTGATGTGTTTACGACTATTGATTGCATCTTTTTTTTTCTTCTCAACCACACCAGCTAACATTGCATTGTCTCTATAACTAACACTTTCTCTACAGGTGGAGCACTTCGCATGTCCTGTCCTCACCTGGAACTATGTCTTGAATATGAACTAACAGTCTTTCCCTCAATTTAGAATTTAGTTTAAAAGACCACGAAAATTTTGACAATTTTGTATCAAGTTTGAAGACCCGAGTGCTCCATTGATTCGAACAGCCTATGGACGCTAGGAGGCCCTGCCCTTGCTATCCAAATAGGACAGTGCTGTGAAGTATTCCGTCATATTAACGCAGCTGTAAGGAGAAAACGTGGTTTCCACCCGCAAAAGGGGGGGAGCGGGTTAGCGTAGGCCTAACGGTTCTTTCCTCGCTTTGCACCAATGAGGCTTGGGTTTGAGTCTCGGCTTGGCCCAGGCTTTAAGTGCATTTGGTTTCCAGTGAAGACTCACTCTTGCACGTTTTCTCCCGTTTCCTCCTGCGTCTAAAACTGGACCTTCTTCCGAACTCCGTAATGTGAGGCTGATTAATAAAGTGTATGAATAATCGTACAGTTATTGGCGCAAATAGCCTGAGTTCCTGAAAGCGCCATTAAAAAAAAAACAAAAAAAAACAACAACAACACCCACAAAAAATGCTTTGCGACATTTGCGTAGCATGCATACAACAAAACAGGCCCTTCGTATCATTCAGTATGGAGACAGAAACTTTCGTCTGCAGAACGTTTGAGAATAATTCTGTCATCACCTGTTCTTGCTTCGAAGCTTTGGATAATAATATTGCTAAACGGACATAACGGTAAAACGCAATCATGAAAAGAAACATTTACCATCTCCTTGTGCTTTTTTTACAGACCGATCCATTCGAGGAGGCACAAATCTACCATTCTTGTTCGGCAGTCAACCAGGACCAAGGAAGCTGCCAAGATTTGTCAGGAGAGACCCATCAATTTAAATTAGTTGTAGTGCTCGTTTTACTACTCACTTTATTCAAATTTCATCAACTGTTTGGCAGAGGTGAAACGGAGCCGAAGATGTCTGTGCTTTTCTCAGTGAATATTATGCCTTTTCCCTGAAGTGGTTTATGCAGTACAGTATTGTGGAAGCATTGGTGTGTTTTTCCGCTAGCACTTTGAATATGCATTGATTATTGCACATTTTGAAACCAAACATAAAAGGAACTGATTAGGTTTTGAAATTAAACCTTTTTAAATCAAAACCTTCTTTTTTCATGAACTAAATAAATGTAAAGCCACCACATTTTAAGTTTGTCAACAGTTTTACCGGGTTTTTATAACCACGGCACATTTGCCAAAAAAAGACTCTTGAAACAAGCCACCTCATCAAAATCAGGCATATTTTCATCAACAATTTTGTTGCTTTTTGTAAGTAAAACGTTTTCCCCTAAGCATTTGTTTCATGTTCCGGCGTCTGAAAACCTTGCAGTTTAATTTGTAAACGTTCCTCTACATGTTCATGGCGTAACATTGTGACCAGTGCTTTAAATTACATTTTATCACCAAGAAAACATTTATTTTGGAATTTTACTAACTTCACTTGCATGTCTCCAGCGGGGGAAGAGTAACAAATAAAAATCGAAAAGAATTACTGAAAGGAGTTTCCGGTCACCTTTGTTCAATAAATCTAATAGGTTGCAATTTCATGTTGATAGTGTCTTAACAAAATTAAAGCAAACAAGAGAACAAATCAAAAAAGGAAAATAAGGCTGTCTACACGAATAAAATATGAACAAATTGTCTCCAGTGGTTAAGAGCTGTATATATATGTGTGAGAAATGTGCCACCTTCGCACTTCAGAAATAAAATGGCTGTTCATTATGTTTGCAGTACAGCTGCAGCTTTTGTGTGTCAATTGCCCATGCCATGACGTATAATCTAATCTGCCTCACTACTTTCTGTATATGCAGCTCTGCAGTGGGTGCTAGAAGAGCGCCATCACGAGTAAACCCACAGAAAAGGTTTGGCGCGCTCAGCCTTAAAGCGAATAGGCGTGTCTAAGGAATGTCGGTCCTCCCCTGAGGAAATACTGACTGAGCGAGCGTCTCTGCAGTATCGACGCTTGGAGACAATTACTGTAAGCGCATTCCGTAAAAACAAATGTCCAGACAAACTAAACTGAAGCCAGTTATTTTGAATAGTTGAACTAGTCAGACCCAAGGACACTGCTGCATGGCAGGTTATCAAACATCTCATTGGCACGAACAGAATCAGTGAGCATTTAAACCTAGGAGAGGTTTGAGGATGAAATGATCCGTTCGACCAGGATTGTTTGATTGGTACAGCAATACGCTGACAGAAAAAAAAAAAAGTTCAGGAACTTTTTACATTCCTGGAAAAAAGGACAAGAAATTAGACCAGAATAACCACCCTTCAACAAAGAGGTCCCCTTTTCCACTTAAGGGCGTGGGGTTGTGTGTGTGGGTGTGTGTGTGGGGGGGTTCCTCCAGTTTTCCATGATACTGTTTGATATTTATTGAGCTGTGCCCAGTTTGGAAATAAGTCTTTCTATAAAGCCGTCAGCCTTTCAGCGTTTCTCAAGCAAAAGTGGAAGTTCTCACATATTGCATGACGCAGTGCATCAATCCATGCCGCCCGCAAACCATTTGTACTAGGCACACTTTGGCAAGTGAAATATGCCCCTTGAACCACAAAGCATTAGACAACTAAGACACTTTGGTATACCACAGCATTTGAAGCAAGATATTGGACGGAGATACCCCCCCCGCCTTTGTGTTGGTCATTGTTTGATTGAAAAATCAGGAATTCTTTATAGACTCCTGGGGGGATGTGTTAGATAACGATTGTCTAGAGTGTATATAGGATTGGACAGATAAGAGGGGTACCCTTCCGTTCCATATCTTGCCTGGTATATACCACAGTGACACGGAACGAAGGGTATTGCATTTAAATTTAGTATGGGCTGGCCAAATATTCACTAGTTTGCATGGTTAGGAGTTAATTTGAGGAAACCTGAATATCTGTACCTAACTACATAACCAAACATTTCCTCTTCCACCCTAAAATATAATGTAGACAAATATCAGTGACTACTTTTGTGGGGGGTGATAATGACCATTTTATTCTTACTTGTCTCAAAATAGACAACAGAGAGAATATATCCCCTATCCCCCGGGATTCAGACTCTTGCGTTGGGATGTTGGTATTCTTTGCAAACGCCCTCATAGTTGAGTGACTACATTGGTGCGGGGATGTGACGATCAAGGAACTGCTGTTGTTAATTGTCACCTCGGAAAGGTTTATGAAATTTTCCGTTCCACCAGGTTTGCTGATTGGTACATTACAGAACGCTGGTACCCCCCCCCCAAACAACAACAAAACTACATTCGGGAGCTTTATCCATGCTTTGGAAAAAAAGGACAAGAAATTTGACAATTCGAAGATCGAGGGACGGCTGTCGTTAATTGTTATAACAACAAATAACAAATAAAGAAGTCAGGCCCTTTGACTCAGTTACACCGGCATCTATAAAACACCTTCTTCGTGAGTAATCAGGAAATCTTTAATACGATATATAAACACTTAGGAGTGTACACTATCGGCACGTCGATAGATACAGACACATGCAACTATGAATCCTGTTCGAATGTGGCTACATTGCGCTTCCACGACTAAAAGAATTAACAGATCAATGCTCGAACTATAGAGCTTATGGATCACAAGCTGTTTAGGCACAGACAGTTCATCCATGAACACGGTTTGGTGACGTCAGATGAAATAGTTGTGCTACGAATCTGCAAACATTGAATGCATTTCAACCCAAATTATTTTGCTTCAAGTGTCTGATTTCGTGGAACTCACATCGCTTCCCAAAAATGTTGGACTGTCTTTTTGATTGCCTGTAAAATAAGTTCCTTTTCAAATTTTCGAACGAGACTTTCGGGATTCCAAAAGCACTTGCCAAAATGAATACTAAATGGCTAACCATGCCAACACATTTTATGCCTATACCGCTTTGAGTGTTTATCGATGCCCCTGTAGTCTCAACTTTACAACTCAACTACATGAGCGTACTTTATTTGGGTGGACTAAATTGAAACCCGACATCCTACATTACTAGCAGGGGTTGAAATTTGTCCCATAATAAGATCAGTTTGGGGCAGAAACTCACTTCACACACTTCTCATACCTATCACCATTACGCAGTTATTATGCTTTACCTTCAAATAGTAGTTTTGATGATGTCATATAGTTTATTTCAACAATAACGTCATGACATTTGGAGTCGTTCTTGCAAAACGTCATATTTCAAGACTGGTGCGTTGGAATATTAACGTGCCCGAACAGTCTGCGCTTAATGGTTTTAACAAAACCGTCTGTCAACTTTTATTAGACGTAATTTTCCGTCAGCATTTTTTTTTACTTTGTTGTTACATTCCGGGTTATGCCCTGTGACCACTGTTTACACTCTTTTGTCTAAGGTTGTGAAAAGGTACCAATTGCATATTGGGGGGTTGGTACTCTTACAGTTATTATTGTGACAGTCCCTACCCGTTTTTTTAAAACTATTGGTTGGTAAATTGGTTATTTTTTTAACCCCTCAGACTTTAATGGATGTTCTTTCCTCTCCCCTCTCATTTAAGTTGGCCAGGCTAGAGTCTTCTTCAGGAATTTTCTCATTGTATACGCCCCTCCAGTTGGAGTCCTTCCGTGCAGGTCTTTTTTTAACCAGTTTTCTTTCACTGACAGAGAAGAATCGTTTAGAGTTGAATTAGAGATGGAGACAACTAGAGATGGGAGACAACTGAGAAGTTTTTCCTCTCTCCTGGCTAGTTGGTTAAATGTTCACTCCAGATGGGTTGAACAATAAACCAGTATTGAAAGTGAACGTGTGTCTGTGTCTTTTCCTTGGTAAATTAGGTTAGCCTGGTTCTGGCAATCTTCTGCATCTTCTATTTTACAAAGAGCAACTGTAAGGAAAACATGTTTTCTCTGAGTTTATCTGTTCAACTAAATAGAGAAGCATAGAAATCGAACGCATTGTCATTTGTCTTCAGAGCTCAACTATAACAAGCTAAAAAGGTTTTTTTCTGTTCATGCCAAGATGCGAATTCTGAATGTAGATTGCGTCATTCGGTATACCCAGCAAGAAATGAGACCGAGGGGTACCCCCCCCTGACATGTCCAATTCCTATACACATTCCAGACTATTGTTACTTAACACATCCCCCCCAAGATGTCTGAAAGGAATTCCCCAGATTCCTGCGAGACAATGACCAACACAAAGCAGGGGGGGGTCTCTCCGTCTCATCCCTTGCCGCATATGTTATTCGGAGAAAACATGTAAAACGAGGAAACTGTCTCCTTGTGTTCGTAGTGGATAATTCTCTTGTGCACGCCAAACAATGGTCAAGGGTTTATCCTCTACGAACACAGGGCGAGGGTTCCCCTCGGTTTCTCCGCTCTCTCAGAATGACGCAATCTGCATTCAGCATGTTCAGAATTTGCATCTTGGCATGAACAGGAAAAAAGCTCTTTTTAGCTTGTTATTAAATGTTCTATTATGTCTTCTTGCCACAAACGCGGAATTGTGTATGTTCTGCCCTAGCTCCGCTCTTGGGCTGCTCAACCACAGTAATTTAGTCTAGCGCCCTCTACCATCAGTTTTCTCTTTACCGCTGCATGTCATCCACGTTACCTTGATTGTACATTTTACAACTTTCCACCTTTATTTTCAAACCCTTGTCGGAGCACGATCCGTAAGTTTACCTTTTTCTCCGTGTTTGCTTTAATTTGTAGTCCCTTGATAGCTTAATGCAAGTCTGATTCATGGTTTATTTCTGGTAAAAACGTCCCTTTCAGCGTCACGCCCATCTCCAGAACTCACATGTAGAGTACTTTTTATACAAATCTAATGCATGAACTCACGTTCTTGCCTTCATCTGTTCTTATGGGTTCATCTTCATTATACATGTAGAAGTCTGTTATAGATTACTGCCTTGTTCGTGTAGTTTTACATGTGCATGTAGTTTTTCCAGTACATTTTTTGTTGGAAACTTTTATTACATGTACGTAGTGCGTTTTTACGCATTTTTAGGACTGTGCATGTTACATTTTTCTTTACGTTTCGCTCAGAGGACTGTTGGTATTTTATGAGATTTCATAGTGATACTCCTCCCACATTGTATTTTACCCTTGAATTCGTACATGGATTCTTTCTACATATACATGTGTATGTAGTTACATCTACATTTGTCCTCTTACATGAACCCACATGCGCATAGATGTATTTTACGTAGAATATACTTGTCCTAGTCCTTGGATTTCCTGCATTTCCTGCATTTGCTGTGTACTGTTATGCAACTTACTTATGAACAGAACCGATGAAAACCCAGATTTTGTCGTCAAGGCCAGCAGTGGAGCAGAACTCAACCACCTTAAGTACTTTTCATTGGAGAAACACACAGTTGTACATACCCTATTTATTTTGGCAAATTATTCTTTAACGTTCACTGATGTTTTGATCAAATGAAGTTTCTTTCCTTCACTGAAATATCAATAGAATTTGTGGATGCAATTTGATTTGATTGTTCAGTCATATTTGTCAAGTTTGAAGTATTCAGCTGTGTAATTTAATCCAAAAGCTTTTCAGGAACTTACCTTTTCCTTCCAAGTGAGAAATGTAGTATTCGTACGGTTTGGCAAAGTTGATGGTAAACTTCATTTATTTGCCTACAACCTGATAAGTCTCTTGATCAAATTTTGTTCTTTTTATGTCTCTGTATGAGGTTTTGTTAATGAAGCAGTTGTAGGCCAGAAAGAAAGAACACTTTCTAACTGAGAAGGGTTTCCGCCTCATCCTTTTGGCAGTCACAATCTCACAATGGGGGCTGGTCCGGGAAACATTTTTAAAAACGAACCAGGAATGTGATAGGCCAGAAGTAAGTACTCATTTTACGAATGAAAGTATGAAGTTTTCAAACTGTTATTGATATTATACAGGTGTTGAACATCAATGTCACTATTCTTGATATTTACGCTTTCGTGTTTATTTATACAGGTTGAGTAATGCTCCTTCCCCCTGGAGATCTAGACAACAGAAAACCAGTACCTCCCCCTTCAATACAGTCTTTTCTTTCCAAATTTGAAATGTAGTACTTGTACGGCTTTGTCATTTCATTAAATTTTGATTGTCAGTGGTCACTTTTGATGTCAACCAAACTACCCCTACTACCCATGCTACCACCCAGTGTCACAAATCGATCGATCTGGACGACAGAATTGCTACAAATACCCCAGTGCAATGCTCAGAATTGAGCGAATAAAGTTGACATAAGGTAAAAGCCAGAACGTCGCGGTGGCAAATAATTTAAGGGAAGATATAGGACGGCTTCTTTCAAAAAAGGAAAAATTCATTTTTTACCAGTCAGCCATCTGGAAATGCCACTGAAGGATTTAAAACAAGCAAAGCATATTCTGACAATTTGATAGAGACATTCCTTTTCTTTGGTCAACGTAATACCGTATCTTACTCTAGCCCAGTGTTGGTATCGGATGAAATTTAGCTGGCAGCATTTTCGTTTTCGTGAAATCTACTGAATAAGCACTGAATACCCATTCCACATGTTGACAAGGCCAGGAATCAATCCTGGGCCGCAAAAGTAAAAGCGGAGGAAGACACTTTGTGTTATTGTATAACGTGCACGGAAAAGACAGCCAATGAGTCGCCGGGTCAAGTATGCGACTTTCTAACACTGAGATATCGCTGTGGATATCAGGTTTCTTTCGCTGTCTCTAATACTTTATTATAAGTATCTATTTCTGATCTGTAATGGGATTTTAGTGGAAGGATAACACTTAGAATGCAACATATTTTAAAAATTAATCATTACTCTTCATGACGATTTGGTTTGCGAAGGCAAACATTTCATTTCATTTTTAAAAATCTTTATAATTTTTTATCATGACATTTACTGGTTCCCATAATGTACCTGTGATATATCATTGCCTTCCTGGACATATTCTAAGCGTTTACGTAGCCTCTGCGATTGATCCTTATCAGTACTTCTGCTGTCTGTTTCCAGTAGTGAGTCTTGACTTTCTACACTTTTCCTTTAGACTTCCTGTTCTTATTCCTTATCCCAAATACAAGTAGCTGATAACAATATACGTATACACAATCACTCAATTCTACTGTAACAGCTGGTATCAATTCGTCGTTTTAACTATTTTTGTTCCTAATTTTAAGGGATGTCTTTTCCAATCTTCCATACAACAAGGGGTTGGAGCCTTCTGTGTATGTTTCTTTATCTGTTTTGTTTGGTGAATATTCTTTGCAGTGTGAATGCAAGGGGACTGGCATGCAGTGGGCATTCTTTAGTTAGGTGTGGTTCTTTTATGTTTGGTTACTTGAGGTGTATAATGTGTGGGAAATATAAAAGTGCATGTGGGGTGTGATTGGAGTCTCTCTCTCACTAGAGCTCTTGACTTGTCACGCCTGTCCCGCTGTGTTGTGTTGATAGTGACTGCGCAAGTTTGGGTGTTTTACCCCACTGCTTTTTGCAACTCGACCTTGGCGATATTAGATGCCATGTAGTGCAGCATTGCAAGCGTTACTAATAGCACACATATATTTAGGAAAACCTGAATGAATTGACTGTTTTTATGTGAAAAATCATTAAAAATTAACCTCTCCATATTTGTACACAATATTTTCACACTTTGTATAACAGATGACGGGCTACAATTCTAAGACCTTTTATTGACCTCAGTGACCTCTGACCTCCTACGGAATCGGAAGTTGTATAGAAAATACATGTTCATTGCTAGTTTTCATTTTTATCTGAGCATTGATCATGTTGATAGTACTAATTCAACAATTACAATCATAATCATTCAGTTTCAAATGATTGACATAAAATATCAATTCTACGTATCACACTATCAGTTGCTGCAAAACTAGCGCAGTTCACAAGTACTGTTGTGGGCAAAATATAAATGTGATATATTTTGGGTTGATTAGACCAGAGAACATGTGGAAATGAAGACAACAAAACGTCCAAATACTATGCGGCAGTGTCATGATCATGCACCACGACATCATTAAACAAGTTACAAAAAAATGGTTTTAAAAGCCGTCAATCTGTGTCAAATTGTCATGAAATTTCCTAGATTTGTCGCTTTTTTCACGTACATGAACAATCACATACGTCTTTACAACACTCTGCCGGTGTCAGATGACAAAGTTACACGCATCCATGCATGAAAAATCCCTCCAAATCGGTCGAAAGAAAATAAATCGCTGTCCGATTTCCCGGCACAACAGCGACCATAACTCCCGGATGTTCATATAAAAAGAGGGTAACATTCACGAGGACCCTTAGGTCCAAATTTTTTTGTACACATGTTATAGGGTTTACGCGATACAGCGTTGACATTGCGAAAAGGGCAGCAACACGGGATTTCCCGGGTGTGGGATCTCAGGGCATGTTACGTAAACCGGGATATCCCTGGTGCGGGGTTGAAAGGGTTAAAACAATTTAGACGTCGTACTGTTTATGTCTTAAAATGACACGATGTTCTGGTGTATGATACGGTTTTGTCCCATCTTTTTATCAAGCATATTCATGAAGACTTTGGACATTGCCATGACATTGCCCTATGAAATGGTTATTGCTTGCTTTCGCAACAAATTTACTGAAGACAGCACCGTGTAAATTATATTAGTAATTTGTCTTCTATATGTACCGATCTTATCGTTTATTGACTATACGGATTAGGTTAAATAAAAGAGACAGAAGGTTCATCAATTACTTAAATCAAACCTAAGAAAGTGTATCCTTTGAGACGATTACGACTTATCATCTCATTTCTTCTGTACACGAAATTGTACACTCAAAAGAAACCTTGTCAAGAGTGGTTTCACCCTTGTCTGTGACAATGTCTTCCAAAAAGAATTTCCGACGAGGGTCCACCCTTTGGAAATTGAGAAATAAAGGAGAGAGTTTGTGCAGCAGGGACTGATTTCATAGTATTCTGTAGGTTCAGTGAAATTGAATGAACCTTTTCTGATGAAAAAATATAGGCTTTAGGAAATCCACAGTGTTTTTTTAGAACTAAAAGTGACGGATAGTTGCCAGCTGACACCTGGAGTTTTTGAGAAACGAAGTCATGCAAAATAATCGCCAGTTACCGAGACAAAACCTAGTCACCACAACCAAGCCGGTGTGAACAATATACTGCCTCGCATCACAACACCGAGTTGGCTCTGCCTTTTAAAAGATAAATGGGGCGTGCAATAAATATTTTTGCCTCAGGTACGGAATTTGTGCTAACGTTAATTTGAAATCTGTGTTTGGCACTCTGAAATTGTGGCGTTTTATGATAGAAATATTGAAGCCTCGGGAGACCAATTTTCCCTACCAAGCGATAATTGCCAACATACCCGCATATGATCTTCAGACAAAAGAAACTTAAATGTTACAATACAAAATATGTTTACAACAAACTGATATTCATCAGCGACTAGCCCTTGAGTTTTGATATCAATCTATATTTATCAAACCTTATCCCGTCAGATGTTATCGTTGGTTACTCAGAAAATTTACGCTCTTTGCCTCTTTGGACTATTCAGCATTCCTTAAAAATCCTGTTCATATCTTTGGACTAATTAATCCATTAAACTATCAAACCTTTGAATCTTAGCCATGGTCGGACATCCTGGGTGAATTGGGGTATGTGTCCTCGCACTTTTCTGGATCGGGGAATTGCTAATACAATCACCCCCTCCCCCACCTTTTAAGTCATCGACTTTATGTGCAAAGAAATCTCCACCTGGGATCTCAGCACATCTCGCAAACTCGTGCCATCAATGAATATGGTCAAAGAAATAGGAAAATCAAAAAGGAAACCCCCAAACACACCGCTCAGGACACACCCACGCATCCACACACAAACAAACACAAGACGAGGAGAAAGAAGCATGACAAAAACTGCAGAAAATTTTTTAAATCAGGTAATATCGTTGGAAGAAAGGAAATTTCAGTGGATTAGGGTTGACTACGCATCACGATGCCAACTGCACAATGCCATTGTGACACCGGCAATGCCCCATAACTTTAGCGTAAAAGTAATTGGCAGCTGTTACTGATTCCGATAAATATTCGTTTACTTTCCATCTTTATGTAAATTTATTCAGATCTTTTTAATTAATGTCTCTCCTCCATGCTTACGTCACTCGAGCGTGCCCATCAAGAAGCAATATTGAAAATATTCGGTTAACGTAAGACCCTCAAACAGAATTAAGTAACAGTTACAAAAAGATGGGTGAAGTAAGCGAGCTACTATGATCATAAGCCTACCGTATATGCATGAAACCTGGTACCAACAGCACCTTCGATGGAATGTGATGCCCTCATAACCTGTTCGCTCTTTGAATTCTCAAAGTGGAAACTGCCTCTGGAATAACCATCTCTTGGACAATGAGTTCAGGCGACGCCCGCTCACGATCCTTCAGCATGAAACAGTTTAGCTGGGCATTCCAGAGCAAGCTCAACATTGCGAAATAAAAATACTTGACACACCACAAAGTTTGTGTGTGTTTGTGTGTGTGAGTCTGTGTGTGTGTGCGCGCGCTTGTACACGTTGGGGTTACTTGAACAATGGAAGGTACCCCCACAAGGCCAGTTTTGATCCCTGTGGGGTACTAAAGTGGTACCCCACAAGAATTTCAAGAAATAGATATTTCAAATTTACTCAAAAAGGAGGAATTTTCAAGTGCCATTCATCCAAATTGAAGTGTTTTATATAAGGGACATATGGTCGAAATTTCAACCCAGGAAACTTAATTTGGTCGAAATGGCAGTGATTTGAATTTTTTTCCGTGTTGTGTTTGAGTTTTGTACACGAGAACAAAGGAAATACTTCGCAAGTATACATATGTAAGGGTTTGTCCCCGATTGACAGAGGGTCCCCGATTGACAACTGTGTACAAAACATATG